GCAAGGACTTTTGAGGTCAAGACTAGGAGCCAGCATAACGTTAATTGCCCTGCATTCTGTTTGCCAAAACCAGCCTAGATTCAAGGAAAGGAAAGAGAGACTCCAACCATTTGATGGAAGGCACTGCAAAGTCATGTTGCAGTGGGTGTGGATGTGACTGGGGGGTGGGAGATGAGGGAAGTCACAGCCATTTTTGCAAATGAACGACCACTTCTCTTCTGTCTTCTTCCCTCTCACATCTAATTGGTTGCCAAAACTCCTTGATTCCGCCTCCTAGACATTTTGTGTTTCTCCTCCCTTGCATTATTACTGTCTTAATTTAGGCACTTACCATTTTTGGCCCTGACTACGGCTGTAGCCTCCCAGCTGATCCTCCCTCCTTCCTGTTGGGTCCCCATCTAGGTCATGGCTCACTCTGCAGCCAGAATGAGAAATATGACCTTGTCCTCCCCCTAATGAAAACCTTTTACTATAGAGTTTAACCCCTGAGTTTATTACTCAAGGCCTTTCTCAGCCAGGCCCTAGCTCACCTCTGTTTCCCTATTTTTCTGCAATTATTTCCATATGTTTAGGTTTAAATTTATTTTTATTTATCTGGCTTGGGATTCATTTTAACTCCTGAATCTGATCTAGGATCTTTCTGAAAAACTCTTTAACATTATTTTTGTTTTTTTTTCCTCTTAATTCCCAAACTTGTTATTTGAATTTTTTTTTACTAACAATATTTCTTAAAATATTATCTCTGCCTTGTTCCCTTTCTCCTCTCCTACTGTGATCTCATTTAAACCTATGTTACTGCTTCTCACTGTGTGCTTTATGTCTCTTACCCTTATTTGTGTATTTTTCAACCTTTTGTTTCTTCATGTTGCATTCTGGATAGTTTTTCTGATCCATCTTCCAGTTTACTAATTTTCTCTTTAGCTGTGTTTCATCTTCTGTTACACATGTCTATTGAGTTCTTAACTTTTGTTGTTGTAGTTATCAGTTCTAGAACTTCTATTTGGTCCTTTTAGTAATTGACTATATCACTCTTCTTATCTTTATTTTTTTTCTTGTTTTATAATTCCTATCTTAACTGAAACTCTGTCATTTTTCATAGCTTCCAGAAGCTTGCTAAAATTTTTAAGCCCATCTTTTAATTCTTTGAACATAGTAAACATAGCTTTTTATAGATTGTGTCTGATAATTCCAAGATCTCAAGGCATTTTAGGAATGTTTCAGATGTATATTATTTCTGCCTGTTCTTATTCTTGGTTTCTTGTGTCTTTGTGTGGCTGTTCTGTGTGCTAGACATTGTGTCTGCCAAAATATGAATAAGAGTTATTTAAGATTTAGGATAATCTTTTCCTCCAGAGTCGATTTTGTTTTCTTCTGCAGGCAAGTAGGGGCCTTTCATTTTGGGGCCACTAAATCTGAGTTCAAGGCTTGAGTCTCCCTGGTCTACTAAGATGACTTTGAACTGGGCTGCAAGTCCACACAAGGTTCAGGTTTACTTCTGGTCCATTTTTGTAGGATGAAGGCATTAGGATCTTGGTGAAAGGGTGAATGAATCCTATCAGAATCTCCACCTCTGTAGGGCTAGACTTTGATCTTTGTCTCCCTGGCCCGGTGAGGCTGCCAAAAGCAAAGGTGTTTTACGGCTATTCCTTCCAAATTGGCAAATATTCTGTGGGCAAAAGCAGGTCTGAACACAGCACTGACTTCCCTGGGTTTTCATTCTTTCCCAAGTTGTGGCCTGGTGTGCCTCACACTCTTTTGTTAATCCTTTCATGCCTTTAAAATGCTTTAAATATTTTGTCCTCAGTGAGAGGTTTGGTCCCAATTATCTAGTTGGCCATTACCTGGAAGTCTTCCTTGCTTGCCTCTCCCGTCTCCTCTCATTCCTTCCACCCCCCCCCCCCCCCACTCCAGCATCTCAGAAATGACTTTCTGTTCCTCAAGTTAAACCCCCTTGCTTTTGTACAGCATACGTTCCAGCGGGCTCTGAGAAGCCAAGCAAGGTGTTCCATGGTACATGCTAGTAGGATGATGCAGGGCCAGGATCCAAAGCCAGGACTTAAACCTGGGCTCCTGGACTTCTAGCCCCGCCCCTACTGTCCCATCACACCACCTCTTAGGAGTCCCGAGAATAAAAGTTTCTGTCTCAAGGGAACACAGGACTTACATTTCGTGAGAAAATCTGCACATTCCAACACCACTCTGCCAGGCTCAAAATGCCACAGAAAGACATGTTCACAGTGACAGCTTTTAGGATGATGCTACCTCTAGTCAAGCCCTCTGGAGGACTTGGTCCTGGAATGTCAGAGCTGGAAGTAACCACTGGGGGTCTTCAGCCCAACCACCTGTTCCATGCAGGAGGCCAACCTGTAATATTCCCGAGAGCAAGTGCTGGGCCTTGGCTTGAAATGCACAGATGGGAGTCCCACTTTATGGATTCTGTCTGCCTCCTCCCTGCCCACCTGTCTGTCGAGTGAAATTTGATGGACCCATTCTTACCAGCCAGGTGGGGCTGTCTGGGCCATTTGGAAGCCGCACCATGATGCCGCTATTTCCCCCCAGGAGCTGGAGGCTCGGGTGCCAGAAGGTCAGCATCTCTTTGAGAACGTCCTTCGTCTCAGGCCAGCAAGGGGGGCCGCCGATGAGCTGGAAGATCTGCGCTACCAGTGGATGCTGTACAAGTCCAAGCTCAAGGACTCCAGCCACCTGCTGGTAGGTGCCAAGGATGTGCAGGTCCCGGGTTCTAGGGACAGGACTATAACTGGGCGTAGGTTCCCCTGGGGATACATGCTCAGCCTGCATTCACCCTGCCCTGTGCATTCACCCTGCACAGGGGACAGGAACACTCACGGGTCCTGGGAACTTGACTCACATGACGCTATTTGGCCATCCAACCACCTTGTGAGGCTGGAGTCCTAGTGAGGTAGTTAATATGTAAGGAGTGCTTCCTACCGCCCAAGCTGAGGGCTGTGCATGCACTCTCCCATTCAGGCTGTACGGCTCCCCACTGCTACAGTCATTGTATCTCCAGCCTCCAGAGGAGGAGCGGAGACTCCAAGCAGCGAAAAAACTTGCCCAAGGCCACATGGGTGGTCAGTGGCAGAGCGAGCCTGCAAACACACCCTTGTGTTGTAGGCGTGACCTGGGGAAGCACTGGTGTGGCATCAGGAGCCCTGGGGTCCAACCCTGTGTCTCTAACTTGCCCTGTTTCTCCATTGAACAAGCACCTCCTTTTGGGGGGACCCTGTGTCTCCTCACACAAAATAATAATAGCAAAACTAGTAATGATCATAACCTTTGCTCAATACCATGTCCTCATAACAGGCCTTTAGATAAGGAGGTGCTGTTATATGCTCTGTGAACCAACGAGGAAACTGAGGCACAGAGATTACATTTTCCTAAATCTGAGGAAGGTGGTAAGATGGCCCCTAAGGGTCCTTTCGGCCTCAGACCCCAGCCCCAAGCTGGGCGCCCCAGGCTTTCCTGGCCCCGGAGCAGCCAGGATGGCCACTAGGTGTCAGCCTAGCCCAAGCCGGGCCGACCATGGCCCCAGCCCGCCTTGGCCGAGGCCTTCCCAGACAGAATCCCAGCTGGGCCTGAAGTGTGTTAAAAAGCTCATTAAATCGAATCACCTGCTGGCTCAGGCTGTCCAGATGACCAGAAGTTTTAAAGAAACACTCCCCTGACAAAATGAATATTCCATTACAGGCTCTGTTGGGATTTAAGTTTCACTCACTTAACTATTTTTTTTCCCCCCTTTTCCTCTCCTTCCTTGAAATAACAGACACAAAGTTCTCCAGGGGAGCCAACTGGATTCCAAAAGGTACAGTGTCTGCCATCTGCTCCACACGGCTAGCGGGCAGGGTGCCTGGAGGGTTGGTGGGCCTGTGACACTGGGACAGGACGCGTGGGCTTTCTGGAAGGTTCCAAGAAGACCAAGGAACATTTATGGGGGATCAGCTCTGGGCTGTACTGTGCTGGGCCCCAGGATTCTTGCTTTCAAGAAACCCCAGGGTCGGGGGTAAGCTGACAGGGTGTGACAAGCACATAGCAGAGGGGGGGTCTTGCAGATCACCTCCCAAATCAGGACACACTGGGGAGTGGGCAAAGATGCTACCGATGATTACTCTGTGACAACAGGTGTGAACCAGGACTGTCCCAGGAAACCTGGGTTGTTGCGGGCAAGCCGGACGATGTGGCCACCCTGGCGATGGAGGGTATACGGGGCGCAGTAGGGACAGGAGAGGGAGGCGTTGTGCCTTTGAGTTCTCCCAGGCAGGAGTTCCCACTTACCCCACGGAGCCATGCTCAGAGCCACCCCCAGGTCTTTGCAGGCTGAAGCAATAATAAGAGCAGTCATCATGACAACAGTGAGTAACTGATCGTCACTCGAGATGCTGTGTATTGGCCACCCACAGGGTGTGGCAGGGACTGTGCGGACGGTTGTCATTAAAGCCTCCTGTAAGTCTCCCAGTGACACCCAGGAGGCGGCATAATCTCAACTTTCAGCACGAGGAAACAGAAGGGGCAAGCCTGAAGTGATTTGTTCAAGGGAGGCATCAGCCCCTCAGTGGTCTCTGGCCTCTGACTCCAAAACTCATGTTGTTAACCTGCGTTGTGACTTGGGGAAGACTCCCCTGGGGCCCGGAGTGTCTCCCCATTTCTGGAAAAGCCAAGTGTATATCGGTGTACCCTCGTGCCGCTGTTTCCAAGAGAACGCATGCTCTGTTCTCCCGCTAGGCGTTGGCCCATAATGACACGGGCCTCCGGCATGCTCTGGTCCAAGGAGCTCCGATGTCCTCGAGATCTCTCATTCTTTGGAATCTGCATTTCCCAGAAATCTGTGATTTCTTCTTGGCCTCCAGCTGGTGGCATAAGTAACATCTATAGGAGAGTGGGTGACCCGTGGACTGGGCAGGGCAGTCACAAGACCAAGGCCCGGCTCTGGGCCTAACACCAACTGGTTTGTGGCCTTGAGGGAGTTGTTTGGCCTCTTGGGGCTCACTTTCCCCATCTATAAAACGGAACTTGATTTTTTGTTTGTTTCTTTTTTTTTTTTTTTTAATGAATGAGATTCTTATGTTGCCCTGGTTGACCTTGAACGCATAGCCTCGCCTCCTCAAGCACTAGGACAACTGGCCCGAGCCACCGTGGCTCCTTGTTTTTTTCTTTTTTGAGATGGAGACTTGCTCTGTTGCTAGGCTGGAGTGCAGTGGCGCAATCTCAGCTCACTGCAGCCTCCACCTCCCTGGCTCAAGCAATTCTCCTGTCTCAGCCTCCCAAGTAGCTGCAATTACAGGCATATGCCACAACACCCAGCTAACTTTTTTGCATTTTTAGTAGAGACAGGGTTTGCCATCTTGGCCAGACTGGTCTTGAACTCCTGACCTCAGGTGATCCACCCTCCTCGGCCTCCCAAAGTGCTGGGATTACAAGCATGAGCCACTGTACCTGGCCTAAAATGGAACTATTAATGGCAACCTTACTTACTTCATGAACTTATTTTGAAGTTGGTGTGAACTGTTGGATATGAAAGTAGAAATGCTTTTGATCACTTAAGCCCTGCACACAACCTCCAGTTTAGAACAACAAATGGACTTCTCTTGAAACAGGGAAAATCATCAGGAAAGGACAGGTGGTCCACACAGGCCGGCCTGGTGGGTTCTGGTGGGAGATGCGGAATGCAGGACCTGGTGTCCAGACCACCTCTAACTCCTGCACTTCAAACCTCTCTCTAGTTGGACGCCGCCACCTTCGCAGCCCCCAGGCCAAGATCCATGTGAGCGTCAAGTTTGGGTCCACTAGTGTCTAGCCATGGTACCTAGCACATAGTAAATGCTCACTAAATGTTTTTGAGGCTCTGTTTTAGGCACTGAGATATGTCAGTGAACAGAAGAGCAGCCACCTGCCCTGTAGACTGTCCATCCTGCTTGGGTGGAGAGTGGCATGGGGCCAGAGCACACATGTCCAGTTGATGTTGCTTAGTAATCACCGTAGAACTCTCTGGGTCAGAGAGCTCTGACGGTCAGACCACTTGGGACCCATGTAGCCCTGAGGTGTATCTTGTCTATGGCCAGAAGATGTTGGGTGCAGCTTGGTGGGGTATGTAAAGCAGGAAAGCCCTAAATGACTAAAGAATCTGCTTACTTGGGCTATGTTTAAAACAACTCAGTGTGTAAAAATCTGACTTTGGTGCTTGCTGGCTTTTGAGCTAACAGATCTCCTTCCATGTGAAGAAGTAAACAACGTGGGGGCCAACACACGGAGACCACTGGTGGCTCCTTTATAGGACAGCTTGTTAAAACATAGATTGCCGGGCCCCGTCTCTGGAGTTTCCAATTCATTAGGTTTAGAGTAGCCCATGAACCTGCATTTCCAACAAGATCCCAGGTGATGCTGCTGCTGCTGCTGACCTGGGGGCCACCCTTTGAGAACCACCACTTTTCACTCCGGGTTCAAACGCAGGCTCCACCATTCGTGTGTGTGACCTAAGGGTCATTTAGCCACAGTCTGCCAAACTCAACTGAGGGTCCACTGAGCTCCTGGTAGCAAAGTTCCTGTTGTAACAATGGCCCGTAGTAGGTTCTCAAGTGCTGTGTGAATGAGGACCTGGTAGACTTCTGCAGACACCATCCTGCTTTTCTTTCTGAGAGCTAATGAAGCAACGACACCTCCGAGGGGCAAATCCTCCCGTTGCTTTGGTGTGTGCGTGGTTTGTCGCGGGTGGGTCTGCGGTGTGTGCCTCTGTGGTTATGCGCACACATGCACGTATGCACGTCCCCGGGCCTGGCGGGTAGAAAGTAGCTGCTGTCTTCAGAGGTTGTCATCTTGCCAACTTAGAAATATTCCACATACTATTTTTGGTCCAAAAGGAAGGGGGGAAAAAACCCTACCCCAAAGCTAATTATTTATGAGCCGTTGGTTGTCCACACTTTTTCCCTCCCTCCGAGTCATTGAAAGCCCCAGCTACGTCAGTGGCTTCAGGCTGCTTGTTTGTATAAACAGAATAATTAAGATTTATTAAATTTGCAGCTGCCTACGCACTTGCCAACTCACTGCCACGGGAATGTTTGCCTGCAGCATTTAGACACGTGAAATGTAATTGCTTTTTGAGTTGTAGTTGGGCTGTGAGTCTAAACTGCATTCCTTGCATCGGCCCAGGGAAGCGGTATAGCCCTACCTGAGACAAACTTTTAGTTGGGGATGGATTGGCCAAAGGTTCTATGAAACTGGATGAAATAGGGCAGTGCTAGTCTGCAGGAGCAGAGAGCAGCCATCTCCCATCCATTTCATATGTGGGCTCTTGGAATATAGACCCAGGTGTCGTGTGACCTGAGGTAGCATTGTATTTATTTGACTATGGTTCATAGGTTTTAAGACTCCTAATTTTGTGAGTTTTCACATCTCTGGAATTCGGGTGTCTTATTACAATGTAGTTCTTCTAGTGAAGATTTGGGTTTACTGCCCATCACTTCTGACCTGAGATTCTTTTAAATGAAAATGTCTGCTTGCGGGCTGTGTTCTGTTTGGTTTTCCTTTGGACCACACTGATTGTGTAAGCTGAGACCGCCAATCTTGGGGAGCTCCAGCATGTGGTTCAGACTCCTGGGGTAGAGTTTTGGTTTCTCACCCTTCCCGCAGCGCCGAGAGGACCTGGAGTTTCCTGGCCTCCTCTTTCTGTGAGCTGGGTTTATTCCTCATTTCTCTGTACGTTGAAGGCAGAGCTCCCCCAGTGCCCCACATTGATACGGGCCTTCCAATCAGATGTGCCACCTTGGTTGCTGTTCTTTTCTCTCTTAGCCATTTGTAAAATAATGGTGCACTTTATAATCAGCGTCTTAGATTGGATGAGTTGCTATAATACCAAATCTCCGTGAGTATTCCATGTTAGATCATAACTTTCTCTCAAAATTAGGATTTTGTTGTTGTTGAAAAAATCCCTCTTGTGTGCCAGGCACTGTGCTGGGCACTTGTGTGCTTGGGTCTTTAACACTCACAACTGCCTTCTCCTTTTTCAGTGGGAGGACATGATTTCTGGGTCCCTTGGCTCCTCTTTCACACATGCTATGGGGCCAGATGGGAGTCAGGAGAGGCAACATAGCTTGACTTGTTACCCTGTGACTTAGTGTGGAACTCTGGGGGCAGGTCAGATCTGCTTCTTCCCTGGTCACAACCAAAGGCCTCGGCTTTGGTAGGGCCATGCAGTCTCTGACCTCTAAAACGGGGAGCCAGGGACAGGTTCAAACCATGCTGTGTCATCCCGGGTCCTTGCCATTCCATCCGTCTACAGAGCCCAGAAGCAGCCAGTCTTTGATGATTTGTGAACAAGCTGGTGCTAAAACTTTGGTCATGAAGTATCTGAAACTAGTCTTTGACTACTGAGATCCAGAAAAGCATTCTCTACACCTGTCCCTCACCTTCCACACGCAACTCCTCTGAAATTGACCCCAGTGAGGTACCCAGCAGCCTCTGCTTCACTAAGACCAGTGAACTGCTGTCCTCATCACACTTGGTCCTGGGGCCCTGGGGCTGATGGCCACGGCCTCCTCTTCAGCTGCCGCCATCCTGATACCTCTCTTTGTTTTATTGTTTGCCAATTATCTAAATCAGTGTTGATAACACTCAGTGTTGATGAAATATTATTATTTAATCCACAGTTCATATTTTAAACTTTTAAGCTGGCTCAGTGGTCTCTTTTGAATTTATAGACTTTCTTTTTTGAGCAGCTTTAGATTTATAGAAAAATGGAGCAGAATGTACAAAGTATTCCCATAGACCTCCTCTCATCCCATCCCCCTCCATCTTCCCCATTAATTAACATCTTGCATTAGTGCGGTCCTTTTGCTAAGGTTGATGAACCAGTATCGATACATCGTTATTAACTCAGTCACAGCCTGCCTTGGCGCTCACTCTTGGTGTTATACAATCTGTGGGTGTGGACAAATGTCTAATGATCAGTATCCACCACTAAAGTACCATGCAGAAGAGTTTCACTGCCCTGAAAATCCTGTGCTCCACCTGTTCATCCCTCCCCACCTCTCCCCAGGCGCTGCCAACCACACACCTTTCTGCTGATCTCCATGGTTTGCCTTTTCTAGGAGGTCCTATGGCTGGACTCATGCACCATGCAGCCTTTCAAGCTGACATATTTCACCTGTCAACGTGCATTTAAGGTTCCTCAGTGTCTTTGTGGCTTGTGGCCTGATTTCTCTTTTTTTTTTTTTTTTTTTTTTGGGACGGAGTTTCGCTCTTGTTACCCAGGCTGGAGTGCAATGGCGCGATCTCGGCTCACCGCAACCTCCGCCTCCTCGGTTCAGGCAATTCTCCTGCCTCAGCCTCCTGAGTAGCTGGGATTACAGGCACGCGCCACCATGCCCAGCTAATTTTTTGTATTTTTAGTAGAGACGGGGTTTCACCATGCTGACCAGGATGGTCTCGATCTCCTGACCTCAAGCAATCACCCGCCTCGGCCTCCCAAAGTGTTGGGATTACAGGCATGAGCTACCATGCCCGGCCTCTTATTTTATTTATTTATTTTTTTTTGAGACATAGTCTCACTGTGTCACCCAAGATGGAGTGTAGTGGTGCAATCTCTGCTCACTGCAACCTCCACCTCCTGGGTTCAAGTGATTCCCCTGCCTCAGCCTCACGAGTAGCTGGGATTACAGGTGCCTGCCACCACACCAGGCTAATATTTTTTGTATTTTTAGAACATGGGGTTTCGCCATGTTGGCCAGACTGGTCTCAAACTCCTGACCTCAAGCAACCCACCTGCCTCGGCCTCCCGAAGTGCTGGGATTACAGACGTGAGCCCCTGCACCCGGCCAATAACTCATTTCTTTTGCCCACTGAATTATTTCACATTGTCTGGACATACCACTTACAGTCTTTCTGGTAGATTTTTTCCCCAGTCTGGGATCCAATCCAAGATCACACATTGCATCCCTTGTCACAGCTTTGTTTTCTGGGCCTCCATTTTTCTCAATTCTTCTTGACCTTGACATTTTTGAATACACGTCAGTTTGTGGAATATCCCTCTGTTTGGGTTTCCCTGCTGTCTCCTTGTGATTGGATTTGTGGCGGGTTCCTGGCAGGAATGTCACAGAGTGGTGCTGTGGTTTACTTGTGCCTCCTATCAGGAGACACATGGCGTCGGCATGTCGCATGTGGGCTCTGCTCGCTCTGGTCATCAGTTGAGAGTAGCCGCCCTTAGGGAGGCTTCTCCCCGTGAAGTTGCTACCATTTATTTCATCATGGATAAGTGACCTGGAGGCGCTGGGTAGAGGCACTGGAAATACAACGCCTCTTTCTTCATGGTGGCATCCTCATCCCATTTCACCAATAGTAGAAGATGAGGTCTCATGGACTGTGATGAACTCTGGGCTGCAATCCTCAGAAATCTGGAGTCTCAGATTCATCCTGTAAGACTTGGAGGACTCTTGGTCAGAGCCTCTGTTGAGTATTTAACTCCTCTACACAACATCTGCTCCCTCCCCCACCCCATGGACTCATTGACTCCTGTTTCTGTACCCTCAGGGATGGCGTATTAGTCCGTTTTCATGCTGCTGATAAAGACATTCCTGAGACTGGATGATTTATAAAGAAAAAGAGGTTTAAGGAACTCACAGTTCCACGTGCCTGGGGAGGCCTCACAATTATGTCAGAAGAAGAAAGGCACATCTTACATGGCAGCAGACAAGAGAGAATGGGAGCCAAGGGAAAGGGAAAACCCCTTATAAAATCAGTGCTTGTGAGACATATTCACTACCACGAGAACAGTATGGGGGAAACCGCCCCCATGATTCAATCATCTCCCACTGGGTCCCTCCCACAACACATGGGGTTTATGGGAACCATAATTCAAGATGAGATTTGGGTGGGGACAGAGCCAAACCATATCAGATGGGGAGCTTATAACTTCCTGAGGAAGCCCCTTCTCTCTTTGGAATAGCTGAGATTGTCAGTTTTCTTGTTGGCTTCTTAGAAGGAAGGGTGTGTGTGTGTGTGTGTGTGTGTGTGTGTGTGTGTGTGTGT